AAACAAACAAGCAGATACATAACAATATACATTCTTGAAAGCATTAATATACATTTTGTTGAAAGCATTGATATACATACTATTGAAAGCATTAATATACATTCTGTGGAAAGCATTAATATACATTAGGCTTATATTCAATATTTCAGTAAATAATATCCATAACCCTATCTGCCGTACAACTAGCAACAGCACACTAGGAGACTGATCAACTAAAATACCAATATCCTTTTCTTCTATAACACTGTTTAGGTTATTTCCATCAAAATTATATTTTTAATTTTAAGTTATGAAAACCCATATGCATTACCTGGAACTTATTATACTTAAAAGCCATCTGCCAGTTATTCACAGCTCACCAAATGCTCCATGTCCTTTTGTAAGGTAGCAACATCCTCCTCGCTGCCAGCAACACCCAAAACTTTAATAACATCAGGAAATTTACATATTTACTGACCATACCTTCACCTATGTCACTGATGTAAATCAGAAAGAGCAATGCTTCGAACAATAAGCCCTGAGGTATCCCACTAGTGGCATCCAGTAGGATGAACTTCATTTATAACAACTCTCTGCTTTCTTCCTTCCAGCTATTTTTCTATCCAGTCAGTCAACTTACCCCCCACCCCTACCCACAAAGATGATTTTCTAACAAGTGTTTTATATGGCACCTTAGTAAAATTCTTTCTGAAAATCCAGATAGACCAATCCATATTTTTATTTGCAGAAAAATAAAATCTAAATTCCAGTACTTAATGTAGATGATCCATCACATATTTTAAATATGGTTCAGGAAACAATATATATCAAAATACCTTTACCTTTATTTCAGTAATTTTACCAAAAATGAAAGAAACTAGATCCAAATTTTAAACTAGTATAAGTTATATAAATATATCACAAGAAACACATAATTTTTCATTAGTTTTGAATCATTAAAATTGCAACTTACATTAGCAGAATTACCATAGGATATATGTATATTGTTGTATTTAATATGTCAGTTTAGTTGTTTTATGCTAAAGGATGGATGTCATAACATGATTTACAAATTTCGTGAACATTAGGTCGAAAAGTTTCATGAAGTAAGTACAAAATGAGTAATGATAAAAATCAGTGAGTAATTGAGTGAATAAGTTCAGTGTCAGTCAATAAATTATTTATAATTAATTTTTTGATTCAGTTAGTAAGCAAATAGTGAATTAGTCAGCATTTTTTTTTACTGATCATTCTGGGAGAGAAAATTTAACAAGTAAGTTTATCTGTGAGTTAGGCATTGCATTAATCTCAGAATTTCTGTTGAAATGTTGATTGTGAAGTTAGGTCAACAAGGGAAAGTATCTTATATCAAATGTTAAAAAAAGGTATATTAATTAATCCATTATTAAAGAAATGGCTTATATTATTGCAACCAAGTTCTAAACTTCAAGTAGCATTAGAAAATTCCAGGTATAGTAGTAAAAACAGCATTGTCTTAATAGATAGAAAGCTTTTGTCACAGAATAAAATAATATCAATAAAATCTAATCCTGATGACAACTATTGTAAAATAATCAAAAGCTCAACATCTCGAAAAATATTGACCTGAAGAAATTTTCATGCCTTTTTTTCAATCTTCATTGAATGAAATTCTGAGCTAACTTTAAGCAACAAAACATCTTATAAAAACAGATATCTAACCAAGTGACTCAAACCCTTCTAAATGATATATTCACTGCAGTAGCCTTGCTAAGCTAAAGTTAAATTGAAAAGTAATACAAATTCATCATTTTGCAAGTATTCATTCATTTAACATACACTATCTCGCATGCAGAAACATAATTATTTAACAAAGCAAATCAAGTTATATTTCAGCTATTTTTGCCTCCTGAGTCTTGTCTAACATAATCCTCCATCAGAGACTATGAGACCACATACAAACCTGTTATTGTGATTTTGAAAATATGCACATATTTATAAAACTATAACTAACCTAAAATAATATAAAAGTGATGAATTTACAAATCTCTGCTTAAGTACCATAAAATACAAGTAAGTTATTGAAACTGTAAAACTTATAAGTTATAGATAAGACTACCTGTTTTTGAACAGGATAGAGATCTGCATCAATGCATAAAACTATAATGTGAACTGAAAAGAAAGAACATATATATATAATTAATTTTTTCATAAAAACGGAAATGTAAGAACAACCTAATCTAGCACTTAGTTACACAACAACCACAAATTAAACATAATTAAATTGCTAAACCATCATAATTTCATATTACCAATTTCAAACGGTTTCAATTAATATAAACAAAACAGTAGCTTCATCATGAAAAACAAACAAGTTTGTGTCGTGACTACAGCCCATGAATTCCATCATTTGTATTTAATAGTGTTTTTGCTTAAAGCCCGTAATCCAACACATAAACTAATAAAAATTTGATGGTAACAAAACATTAAGCATGTATCTTGGTTTTCATATTAGTATCTCACCAAAAAAAAAATGTGACCTCTCCAATACGTTACAGGTTGCCTCTTATATAGTTTCACAGTAACATCACAGACATGTCAAGTGTAACAACTCTCATAAACTCACAACTACCTCTCATTGTGACGTTACATATTAACCTTTCCAAGACTTATTTGAAACTTGTCTTAATTTTTTTAATACTGTTGGTTTCTTTCTATTTCTCAATAAAAACATACACATAATACATCATTGAGTAATAAATTTTATTTCATCTATAATAGTATATTAAGAAGTAATAAAATACTGAAAGATTAATTGTCAGAGATTGCACTGTAACAGGCACAGTAACCAACAGTTACTCAAAATACTAAATTAGTGACAGTAGGTCAGCACAAACATGCAAAATAAGAATTATATAGTAATTACATGAGCTCTTAAAAGTGAAAAATCTCTGAGAATTATCACATTGTGTCAATATAAAAATGGTCTACATATTGTTATGACAGAGGAAGTCACGTGACTCTGGTAACACGTAATGAGTATCTCGATCGTTCCTGAAGGCTCAAGTGTTTGCTAGACGTTCTCTATTTTGTATATATAAGACCGGCGAGAAGTGACGGTAGATAATTGAATAGCAGACAGGGAGATAGAGACAGATAATCGAGTCAAGCCGTAAGTAAAGTGTGTAAATCGTTGTGAATTATAGCGTGTGTTTAAGTTAAAAAGACTGTGGAAATTAAGTGTATTGCAAAGTTGTATTGAGAAAGAATAAACTAGTTTTATTTAAGAAAGGACTTGTATCGCTGAAGTTTCATCCAAAAGAAATTATATGGGAAATTAACAAACGAACACAGAGATCTAACAAATTGGCGTCAGGAGTGGGATAGAAAATAAATAAATAAATAAAAATGAAGATGGAAACGAGAGGTGGCAAAACAAACTACAGCTTAGCAGATTGATGGCAGCAATACAAGAACAGCAAAAGAAACAAGAAGAGAGATTACAGCAGTTGTTGGAGGAAAAAGAAAATAAACAAGAAGAGAGACTACAGCAGTGGTTGGAGGAGAAAGAAAATAAACAAGAAGAGAGACAAC